GACGAACTAATACGGTCGTACGTTACGTCGTTAACGGTAAGTAACGTACGTCGTACGTACGGACCGTACGTACGTAAGTAGTCGACGTCTCTCTCAACGTACTCTCTCTCTCTCTCTCTCTCTCTCTCTCTCTCTCTCTCTCTCTCTCCGCCGCGCGCAACACTCCATCGCAAATTGGAGATGCCCTTTTCTCCCAAGAGCGCGTCGCGCGTCACGCTAACCTTTCACGGCTTGCGTGTTCACGGCCTACGTGCCGTGCCGATGACGGCGGCACAGCAGCCCACCGGCTTTACGTGGGACTCACGTGATCCCCGTGGGGGGGGCTAGTCACGTAGCGTGTCGGTGTGCGTACGTACGTGGTAGTCGCGTATGTAGACCCGTAGACTAAGTGCGTACGTACGCGGTAGTCGCGTATATAGACGCGTATGTAGATACGTATGTAGACACGTAGTGCGTACGTACGCGGTGGTCGCGTATGTAGACCCGTAGTGCGTACGTACGCGGTGGTCGCGTATGTAGACGCGTATGTAGACACGTAGTGCGTACGTACGCGGTGGTCGCGTATGTAGACACGTATGTAGACACGTAGTGCGTACGTACGCGGTGGTCGCGTATGTAGACACGTATGTAGACACGTAGTGCGTACGTACGCGGTGGTCGCGTATGTAGACACGTATGTATACACGTAGTGCGTACGTACGCGGTGGTCGCGTATGTAGACCCGTAGTGCGTACGTACGCGGTGGTCGCGTATGTATACACGTAGTGCGTACGTACGCGGTGGTCGCGTATGTAGACGCGTATGTATACACGTAGTGCGTACGTACGCGGTGGTCGCGTATGTAGACCCGTAGTGCGTACGTACGCGGTGGTCGCGTATGTATACACGTAGTGCGTATGTACGCGGTAGTCGCGTATGTATACACGTAGTGCGTATGTACGCGGTGGCCGCGTATGTATACACGTAGTGCGTATGTACGCGGTGGCCGCGTATGTATACACGTAGTGCGTACGTACGCGGTGGTCGCGTATGTATACACGTAGTGCGTATGTACGCGGTGGCCGCGTATGTATACACGTAGTGCGTATGTACGCGGTAGTCGCGTATGTATACACGTAGTGCGTATGTACGCGGTGGCCGCGTATGTATACACGCAGTGCGTACGTACGCGGTAGTCGCGTATGTATACACGTATGTAGACACGTAGTGCGTACGTACGCGGTGGTCGCGTATGTATACACGTATGTATACACGTATGTATACACGCAGTGCGTACGTACGCGGTAGTCGCGTATGTATACACGTATGTAGACACGTATGTAGACACGTATGTATACACGTATGTATACACGCAGTGCGTACGTACGCGGTAGTCGCGTATGTATACACGTATGTAGACACGTATGTAGACACGTATGTATACACGTATGTAGACACGTATGTAGACACGTATGTAGACACGTATGTAGACACGTATGTAGACACGTATGTAGACACGTATGTAGACACGTATGTATACACGTATGTAGACACGTATGATACACGTATGTAGACACGTATGTAGACACATATGTATACACGTATGTAGACACATATGTATACACGTATGTATACACGTATGTATACACGTAATGCGTATACGTACGCAGTAGACACGTACGTAGACACGTATGTAGACACGTATGTAGACACGTATGTAGACACGTATGTAGACACGTATGTATACACGTATGTAGACACGTATGTAGACACGTATGTAGACACGTATGATACACGTATGTAGACACGTATGTAGACACGTATGATACACGTATGTAGACACGTATGATACACGTATGTAGACACGTATGTAGACACGTATGTAGACGCGTATGTAGACACGTATGATACACGTATGTAGACACGTATGTATACACGTATGTATACATGTATGTAGACACGTATGTATACACGTATGTAGACACGTATGATACACGTATGTATACACGTATGTAGACACGTATGTAGACACGTATGTAGACACGTATGTAGACACGTATGTATACACGTATGTAGACACGTATGTAGACGCGTATGTATACACGTATGTAGACACGTATGTAGACACGTATGTATACACGTATGTAGACACGTATGTAGACGCGTATGTATACACGTATGTAGACACGTATGATACACGTATGTAGACACGTATGTAGACACGTATGTATACACGTATGTAGACACGTATGTAGACACGTATGTAGACGCGTATGTATACACGTATGTAGACACGTATGTAGACACGTATGTAGACACGTATGTAGACACGTATGTATACACGTATGTAGACACGTATGTAGACACGTATGTATACACGTATGTAGACACGTATTATACACGTATGTAGACACGTATGTAGACACGTATGTAGACACGTATGTAGACACGTATTATACACGTATGTAGACACGTATGTAGACACGTATGATACACGTATGTATACACGTATGTAGACACGTATGTAGACACGTATGTAGACACGTATTATACACGTATGTAGACACGTATGTAGACGCGTATGTATACACGTATGTAGACACGTATGTAGACGCGTATGTAGACACATATGTATACACGTAGTGCGTATACGTACGCAGTAGACACGTACGTAGACACGTAGACACGTGCGCGGTGTGTGGCTGTCGTCGGGTCGCTGTCATCATCATCGTCAGCAACACGCGTCGGCGTTTCGTGCGCACGCTGAGAGAAAGGTCGCGCGCGTACGTGTGCCGATATACTTGTCGCTATATTTGCGATGCATAACGCACACCGCCGCGCGCGCCGTGCAGCGCCACGAATCTAATCACGCCTGTTTACTTGCTTCGCCTCTCGCCGCCGAGTGCCGCCAATTAGGAATCTATTTGTCGGACTTTTGCTCATTTGCAGCAAAGAAGTTTCGGGTCGATCGGCGAGTGTAACATGTCGGGTGCCGACGACGACGACGACGACGAGGAGCGTCAGACGCTGTTAGCCGACGCCAGCGACGCAGAGATGGCTGCCTCGCCCCGCGGCCGTGACGCTGACGCTGACGCTGAACTGGGGCCGTAGCTAGCGGCAGGCTAGCGTCGCGTAATGACGTTGATCGGATGAGCGCGCGGCCGCGATGGAGAGAGAATCTTATCAGAGCGCGCGCGTGCCGATGTATGTGTGCGTGCGGGTGTATGTGTGCGTGTGGGTACACGTATGTGTGCGTACGTGTGCACGTATGTGTACGTGCGTGTGCGCGCGTGCGTGTGTGCACGCGGGGGTATGTGTGCGTGCGGGTACACGTATGTGTGCGTGTGGGTACGTGCGGATGTATGTGTGCGTGCGGATTTATGTGTGCGTGCGGATGTATGTGCGCGTGCGGATGTATGTGTGCGTGCGGGTGTATGTATGCGTGCGGGTGTATGTGTGCGTGCGGGTATATGTGCGCGTGCGTGTGTATGTGCGCGTGCGGATGTATGTGCGCGTGCGGGTGTATGTGCGCGTGTGGTTATATGTGCGCGTGCGGGTGTATATGTGCGTGCGGATGTATGTGCACGTGCGGATGTATGTGTGCGTGCGGGTGTATGTGTGCTTGCGGGTGTATGTGTGCGTGCGGGTGTATGTGCGCGTGCGGGTATATGTGTGCGTGCGGATTTATGTGTGCGTGCGGATGTATGTGTGCGTGCGGGTATGTGTGTGCGTGCGGATGTATGTGTGTGTGCGGGTATATGTGTGCGTGCGGGTACACGTATGTGTGCGTGCGGGTATATGTGTGCGTGCGGGTACACGTATGTGTGCGTGCGGATGTATGTGTGCGTGTGGGTGTATGTGTGCCTGCGGGTGTATGTGCGCGTGCGGATGTATGTGTGCGTGCGGGTGTATGTGTGCGTGCGGGTGTATGTGTGCGTGCGGGTGTATGTGTGCGTGCGGGTGTAGGTGTGCGTGCGGGTGTATGTGCGCGTGCGTGTGTATGTGCGCGTGCGTGTGTGCGCGCGGGTGAGTGTGTGGGTCCGGGTGTATATGTGCGTGCGGGTGCGCGCGTGTGGGCGTGTGCGTGTGTGTGCGCGTGTGTGTGTGTGTATATGTGCGTGTGTATCTGCGAGTGCGGGCACGCGTGCTTGCGCGCGTGAGCCAGCGTGAACAGGGGTCATGGCCTAATGCTATTGATGGGAGAAGCCAAGATCAGCTGCCGTGCCGTGCTGTTTGCGCGATACAAGCTCCGGCACATTGACTCTGAGGTAGTGATGCTCCTGCCGATCTTAGTGTGGCCCGGTTTCGCGGAAGGTTACTTGGCGCGCCTTCCGAGAGTTAATTCGCTGCTTTCGCGTGTTTGCCATCGGAACTGAGATGTAATGCGAATGTCACCATCAATTTGGGTCATGGCCGTTGTTAGAATGATTGGAATCGACGTAGGTTTGTCGCGCGGCGTTTTCGCACAGCTGTAAATACAACAAAGCATCCGTTGCGCGAACCTATCGTTCAAATACATCGCATATTTTGCAAAACAGAGCGGGACAGTGTGAAAGCAATTTGGGTAGTTCTATGTAAGGAGGAGATATTTATTATAACCGTTCGTTTCTTTTATTATTCAGCTTAGTGAGACTAGTTGTTTGAGCCTATTTCACCATTATATAACTGCAGAAAATCCATTCATTATCTACATGCAAATTCGGCAAATCAAATGTTAGAAAGTCGAAAAAATGTATTACTAATATTTGTTTGTGTATGCGCGTTATCGCAATGCTGCTAGACTGCATTGCTCAAACGACTGCACCGGGTTGCACGCACGTTACATTTTAATACTAATTTGTCTCAAATTAGTTCCTCTGAGGAAACAGCCAATGAAGATTATGATAGTCGGTGGCGCAGATGGTTACCTCGTTGGCGCGGCGGCAGCGTCTTTGAGCGTTAGCATTACCTACTCCGTAACAGTATTTAGGTTGCACGAAAATATACCGGAAGCTTAAAACAGCACGAGCGGGTTAGTTTTTCGGGGGCAAAAGCCACTCGACTAATCCGTGATAAAGTACGCGGTCACTTTTAATTCGCATTAGCCGCTTTTTTCGTTTGTGTATGCCTGTGCGCGTGCGTGCGCGTTTTTGCCAAGTGCAATTTTCGCAGAATGCACGCTAATGGTGTTAGAGTGTCTCTAATCTCTTTCTATCAAACCGGTATGAAAGTAAAAGATGTATTCTCGCTGAGAGAGCAGCGCATGCGCACCTTGTCGGTGCGGGGGTTAGGCTCGTTTGCTCAAGGCAACAATCAGCGTAATTTTGCGGCGCGTAGTGATGTACGATGAACGCGACTGTTATCAGCTATCAACAATACACGAAATGGGCAGTCGCAGCTCACCATGCGTTAATAGGAGGGCCATGTATTTTGTATATAACTAACGAAGCGATTTAATGATACCGTGTTTACTTGTTGACTGGTTACGGCGTGACGGCGTGTTTTTAATTGAGCCAGGGTGGCGGCCTTGTTAAATAGGATACGGTCGAAAATAGATTAACGGGGGGCAAGGTTAACCTTATATAATATGCGGAGTTTCTCAATCTTATCAACGTTGTGTGCGGGAGGTATGTTTAATATGTCTATGCGTTCGCTGAGAACATGTTCTACTACGTATTGTACTAGCTATTCCAGAATGCGGAGCTGTGTTGTCAGCCAATAGGACTGAGTGAGATAGGGCATCGTGATAATGCTTTTACTGCTTCGGTCCGATCGCTCGAATGTCGAATCTAATACAAAACGTACAACTTTCTTAACGTAAATTGCGTCGTTGCGCACCGATAATGCGGAAGTTTTATCGATAAACTGATTCATCAATGAAATAACGCGTTTAGCCAGCACGCATCGAACACACTGAGAAATGTCCACTCTAACGCTGGCGTGGGTTGAAGCCCGTGATTCGCACTGCACGAGCCATTTTCCGGGAGAGAAACACTGTGTATTACTTGACGATGCGGGGCTCTGACAGAATAGAAAAAAACGCGATTACAAATTCCGCTTTTGGCCTGTGTGGTCGTATCGCGGCTTAAGCGAAAGTAAAAGTATAGCTCCGTTTCCTACTTCACATTCAACCTGTTTGCTTACACTGTGCGCAGTGCTTTGTGAGAGCTTAGTGCAGCATAATGGTTAGCTCACTGAATGGTTAGGTTGCGAACCATCTTTTTATATGTGGTGGTTTTTTTTAGGAAAGGAATAAATAAGTGAGTGAGTGAGTGAGTGAGTGAGCGAGCGAGCGAGCGAGCGACTGACTGACTGACTGACTGACTGACTGATGTGTGTTTGAGGTAAACACAGAATGGTATAATGACCGGGCGTGCTTGTTAGATAGGTGCCACGTGTTAATTGTTCGATTTGGGATCGAACCTTTATTGCACCTGTCATCGATCACGATAGTATGCGCGTACACATATATACAGCTTCTACCAGAGAAGATACTACCGTAGCCGGTCGTTGAATAGCCTTTTATTGATAGCTTGGCGTAAAATAATTTATAGTAATAAGCGCGAATGTAAAACGGCGAGGTACGAAACACAAGAGTGTTACACTTGTTGTAAAGCGAGATGGTCTAATTTAAGAATAAAAATTATTTTAAATTATATTGATCGAAAACATTTTATCTACGGACATTTTTTTGGCGAATATTATCTGCACGCTTACTCACAAACACGTCCCTTCGTCTGCTTCTGTACATGTTGACTGCTGGATGTTTATCCTGTCTGGTTATCCGGGTATATGTATGAGGTAAATCTCTAACAGTCCTTCATTTACATACGTGATGAGTAGAGTGCGGGCGCGTAAGTGTGTGCTTGCGAATAAGTGATCTTGTGACCGAAATGCAGATAAACATGTTGTGTACACACTAATTTGCCTCCCTACCTCCTGGTAATAAGAAACACGATCCGTAAGAAGAGTTAATAAAAACTAAATTCAGGGCCGTAGCTTGCGGGGGGGGGGGACAAGGGGGGCAGTTGCCCCCTAGATTTTGGATCAACATTAAAAGAATTAATTGTTCTACTGAAAGAGAATTGTCGTAGTCAGAATGAAGGTTGTACATGTACTCAAAAGTGCCTCAAATACCATCTCCTGCGATCTACATTTTCAAATTTTTTTGTCAGAGGACCCCCAGACCCTCCACCTGTTTCTCACCCCTCCTTGAAATCCTGGATCCGCCACTGCCCCCCTAGGAAATTGCTCAGCCTACGGCCCTAGAGGCACACACTGTGTATAGATTATATGATCTAGCTGAAGTTTATATATTTTTATTTCAATTGCTTTCATTCACTCCTGGTCGAACAGTCATTTACGCACGATGTCTTGTGGAAGAAAGAAATAGATATGTGACCACCGTTGATATAGAAATCAAACTCCAAATTTTTGATGGGGGCCTCTGATGGCAAAACTTTAATTTCGTCGAAATTCCGCCGATAAATGGCCGCCATAGCTGAATGTGAAATCTCGCCGTCAACTTTAAATGTGAAATGTTGCAGTCAATTTTATAAATCATCGGTTAGCCTATAAAGATCGAAGCACAAGAAATCGCGATCTCCTCCGCATTGATTGATCTCGCTAAAGCATGCAGCACACTTCACCATTTTCGTTGCTCGTACAGGCAATTTTCGTGGTCGCCACAAAACTGGCCAAGTGTGCGGGGGCCGGCAACGACCACTCGCCACGGAAATTTAGTGGTGACCACGAGTTGCCGAGAATCAAACCGGTTTGATTTCTCACCACGAAAATTGCTCGTGGTGGCAAATTGTGGTGAAGTGTGCGCCAAGCCACCACGGCAATCGGCAACAAAATTACTCGCAGACCAATTAAAATTAGCGCTGCCGTCACATGATTTCAAAATGTTATACAGTAGAACCCCTCTATTATGGACTGAACATTAATAGACATGATGGAGAGGTGCCCAGCTTAAAACAGGGTGTCCATTAAGTGGGGTTCTACTGTAACTTGTTACATGTGCATCATGTTGAATTTCAAATATTTTATACTGGTATTTATTTTGTTAATAAGTTTAATTATATATCAATAAAAAAATTGAATATTTTAAGTTGTTTTAGAAGTTAGTAGGCCTAGATTGATTCATCTACCTACTATTAATAATTGTCTGGTATTTGGTAGCATGATACTGATAGGCTACCTGTGGCAAGGAATCGCAGTGAACAAAAATTGCCGTCAACAGCACACGTCAACACTCAGTGGTGACGT